TAGAATTACCCGGACCTAAAATCTACCTAATGTTATACGACTATGTGTATTACTTTTATTTTCACTGTCTTTTTTTTTTCCTCTACTGAAATGAATCGATTTATGGGAAAAGTATTAATTATTTCTTTTTTTTTTTCTGATATATCTTACAAAATCAGCTCAACCGACAATCAGATATTGAACCTTCCATAAATTTTGGAAAATTAGTTCCCTTTATCGTACCAAAAATGCTAAATATCACCCGCCGCAATGATCATCGATATTAATTTCTCAATCAGTGATTCACATATAAAATTGCATAAATCATGGTGTAATAATCAGTAAAATCCTCGAGTGATATGTAAATTTGTGATTAACTAAAGTCTAAAACTATATGGTTATAATCACCTAATAATAATGCATAATGTTGCTATATATTTTTAGAGTTTTTCTTGAGTAAATTTTTTTTATTAATAGGGCCAATCTTGATAATTAAATTTAATTAAAATCCCATTAGATAAAAAATGTGCGTAAAATAAACAATTTTTTACACAAATTTAAGACTCATTTAGTTCGTTGATTCAAATTTTTAATTTGAGTTGAAATGTAATTTTATGTGAGAGCTTTTTACTGTAGCAAAAAAGTTAGATGTAACTGTTTCTAAGAGCTTTTTACTGTAGTAAAACTCAAATCAGTGAAATGAACGGGGCCTTAACAATTAAAAACAAAATTTTACGGTACTTCATCTTTTAAGTGCTTACTAGATAAATCTCTTAGGGTTTGTTTGGTACGAGAATTTAAATGAGGGTAATTATAATCATGATTCTGGAACAATAACCATGATTCATAATTTTAGGTTCAAATCATGATTATGAAATCATAATTCAGAATCAGGGGTTTGAATCACCTTGAATCAAGAGGGGAGTGGTTTTAGAATAATGAGTGATTCTGATTTAAAACATCACATCAGATTCTAAATCATGATTTAGAATCATCCAAATCAAACATTGATTATGAATCATGATTCAAAATCACTATAAACAAACATTGGATGTTTGGTTTGTGTATTCAGAATTATAATTGAGAACTATTCTCGTTTTACATGTGTTTTTATGAGAGAAAATCACTGTAGAGAACAATGAATTATGATTCAGAATCATGGACGAATACATGAAACAAACATCTTTTAATTCTAAACTATGATATAGAATCATAATTCTGGATTTATTTAACGTTTGGTTCATGTATTCAGAATCATAATTTAAAATCATTCTCGTTTTATATATATTTTTTATAAAAAAAAATATTATAAAAAATTATAAGTCATGATTAGAATTATGAATGAATACAAGAAATAAACATTAATAAACCAACTCTTACTTTTTATTTATCCGTTTAATTATTATTAAGGGAAGCATCTTTCTAACCCTCGGGAATAGAATTATTGGCTTGAGGACAAAATCATGAGCCTCCTGTAAAAGGTTGCAGAGTCTTCTTTTGCCTTACAAAATAGCGGAATCCCAATGCTCACTGAGCGTGCCACTTAAAAAAAATTTATAAGGCTGACTGCTTTATAAAAAGCCACGGGCAACTTTGCATTTTCACCTCCTTTTTCATTTTTAATCCCGTAGAAAACCTTCCTTCTTTCAATCACATGTTTCATAGCAAGTTTCTCCATTGTATTGCCTTGTTTTAAATGCTCTTCTCACAAGTTTATCCGTCTAGTTTTGAGACTTTGAGTTAATTTGACTTTACTCTTTAGCTCATAGAAACACCATTTTAATCATATTTAAACTCGTGGAACACGTGACGGACGCGTGGAACACCTTTTTCCTAACGTATTTTTAACACATAAAATAAGGGTTCCGTGTAAGAAACATCTTTTTTGCGGTGGTTTTTTTTTTTTTTTTTTTTTTTTTTTTTCTTCGCCGTTTAAAAGAATCAAAACTCTCAACTTCCCTATTTAGAAAAGTACAAAATTCCCGAATTTATGAAAAGAATGTTTATTTCATGTATTCATTTTTTATTTTAAATTATAATTTATGATTTTTTATAATATTTTTTTCTCATAAAAAACACATATAAAATGAGAATAATTCTGAATCTATAAACTAAACGTCCATTAAACTGTACAGTTTTACCACTGTTGTTAGAAAACTAATTTTGTAAACAAAAAATTTAGCGAAACCAGATTTTATAATTCCATTTCCTCCTTCCTAGCTAGAAAGCTATAAGCTTTTCTTTTTTTTTTTCAATGAACTCTGTAAATTAGACTACTAGCAAGCTCTCTATTAAAGGGCAAATATATATATATATATATATATGAAGATGAAGAAAGAAAAACTTGTAAGCTCTCTTATTTAAGCAATCATATTGAATTATTGATGTATTTTTTTTTATGTAAATTATGTATTGATACACCTTGCGTCTTCTCTGAACTTAGTCTTACTGCTTCTTAATACATCTCATTGCTTTTACGTATGAATGATGCACGTAGGTCTATTTATTAATGACACCTTTGATAAACGGGTTCAAATAGGATTTACCAAAATTGATTTAAACATGTGTTTAATCTTAGTTAGCTCCCCTTGTTTTCAATGATTTTAACCATTAAAAAAAAAACAACTAAAATTTTAACCTATTTATCAAACGGACTCTAAACTTATCTACCGTGGTAAAAAAAAATAATGAAAATGAAGATAGACATCCCATAAAAAAGGAAGAAAAGTTAATCTATTGGAGTTAAAATTTGTAGACCTCAAAGGAATCAAGTTCCTCAAGCGAAACCTAATTGAAAATAATCAATTAATAACCATAAACGCAAAAAAAATTATAACTAAAAACTACTACACTTGATGAACATTTAAACATAAATAATTACACATTCAACCTCAGTTTTACAAAAATCTTCTTCTTGGATCGATTTTTTTTTCCTCTCTAAAGTAAAGTGCCGTAGATGACTTGTGAATAGGAAAAAAAAAAAAAAAAAAAAAAAAAAGAGCTCTTCAATGCTCGACTTCAGCTTCGAAAGTTGTTTGAACTTGAAGTAGCTTCCAGGTTCGTACTCTCTATTATTAAGAGTTGATAACAAATTCAACCTTATAGCCTACATATCAAACAAACAAACAAAATATAGCGTTATTTTTTCTGTTATTTTATTCATTAACGGTTTAACACATAAATTTTACTATTTATTTTTATATTTATATAATAATATATTATTTTAATAAAATTCACATGTCAAACAGTAAGTAAAAAGAGTGACAAAAAAACATAATAAATTATGCTAGCAGTTAAAAGAAAATTTTTTTAATATGTCAACATACCGATAAATTAAAATTTATAACCGTTAAATATGTATAAAATTACATAAAAATTAAAAAATATACAAACATAACGATTAAAACAAATTAAACTATCGATACAGCGTCATATTAAATAATCTCCCCCGTTAAAATATATAAAGCAATATTGGTAAAGAACCAAAAAGAAACGACTTGGCTAATTATTCTACAAATCCACGTGGCAATATGGATAAGTCTTACTTGCACGCTTTGGATAAATTAAGAAAGAATCAAAACGAGCTCGAAAACTTCAGCAATTTTATTGTTCAATTAGCAATTAAATCCCTGTACAAGCAAAAAAAAAAAAAAGAAATTTTTTTTTTTTTTTTTTTTTTTTTTTTTTTTTTTTTCTTTCTGTTCTCTCTTTGTGGTTGAACACTTCAAGCAATCTGCGGTTTTATGGAGAAGATAGGGGGATTATTCGGTTAAATAAAGTAGGCATGAGGTTGCTTTCGAGACGTAAACACTTGGACCTTGCTTAGTGTATTAGCTATTCTATTATCGTATACATAGTGGCCCCACCATAAGCAATTATGATCGAAAATGGCCCCACCGATTTTTTCTCATTTTAAAAAACAGTTGTAGATAATAGCGTGGAAATCGATAGGAAGAGCTTTCACAAAATTTCACAATATAACAATAATGTGGGATAACATTATTATTTTTTGTGATTTTACAGTAGCTAGAAATGATTGAGTAATATTTATATGCCAATTGCCAGCGGCTAAAAAAAGGGAAAAAAGGTGTTTAAAAACTGCGATAAAAATTATAAAATAGAAAGCGTAATATGCTTCCAGATTGCTGTTTCCGAGAAACTGTGGACCCGGTTCAGTACGAGGCGCAAAACTCACGTACGTAGTCACTCACAAACAACCAAACTTGGTACACGTTAGCAGAAAAGAAAAGGAAAACGTATTGTATGCGCAGGGTGCTAAGGATACGGCGTTCTCTTTGTTGGTTGTTGGTTAGACTCTTTTTTTTTTTTCCAAAACAGAAAAGTAGCCACTTGGCACGCTAGTTTTGAGTGTCGTATCATTTATTTCACTAAAACGGCGATCATAGTTTTCCCCGGAGGAAAAAGGGAAAAAAAAAAAAAAAACGTTTTTGTTAGAAAAATAAAAGAATCATTTTTGTATTTTACTTATTTTAGAGAGAAAAAAGTTCGGAAGTGTTTGAGTTGCGTCAGAGTATCAAAAATAGCAGTTGAAAAAAAAAAGCTCGAATTAACTATTATGCTAAAAAAATTTATCGTTTCTTCACCGTTTTGCTGAAAAAAATTGTCGGATAGATTTTTATTTTTCTTTTCCGGAAGCTTCTTTTACAGCAGCGTTAGCACCACCGAGTCACCGCGCTAAATTGTCAATGTAACAACAAACTATTGTCCGTTAATTCGCTATAACGGATCTTTTTATCTTCATCCGAAAGCAACGTTGGAACTTTAACACCTCTTTTTTTTTTTTTTTTATCTGCATTTATTTGAGATCAGAAAGTGGGTAGAGTTCACCCCTTAAAATAAAAGGAATATTTTATTTATCATTATCTATATTCAATTGCATTTAAATCGTCAACCTTAAAAATCAAGCGAAAGGATAATCCTATGCATTTAAAATTAACAAAAATAGGAAAGATAATAAGCCTTATCCAAACGGGAAAGAACAAAACTTGTAATATTTTTTCATTAACTGTATATTCCATTGTTATTTATTGATATTAGTAAATCGGACCCTTACAATAAAAAACAGAAGGGGATCCACAGGTTATACTACTACCACATAGGCAAATATAATACGTAATTCTTCGACAGTTAAAAAAAACAAAAACAAAAACAAAAACAAAATTTCATGGCTCATCTTCCATAACAGAAGCGAAACCGGTCACTTTCTTAACCCCAAATTCAACGTGTTGTCTTGGCACCGTTACCGTTATCCATTCCTGTCCCTCCTTGCGGAACTCGGACTCACCCAACTCAGTGTCGTTCTCCGAGTTCAAGTTGCAGCACCTCGGTTTGAGCTCGTCGTTTCGGATCGAAGGCTGCGACGACGAAGGTGCGTTTCGCGTGTGAGGAGAGAGCCACTTGGCCTTGACGTACTCGGCTTTTCTCCAGGGCGGGACGTGCATTCCTTTCTTCTTGAGGCTCTGCTTCGCTGCGTCCGAGACCACGGAAACGATTCTCTGGAGCCGATCTGATTTTCCGACGAAGATGAACGGGAGGGTTTGGAGGATCGTCTTGTAGGTTTTGGTCGGTCGAGCGATTTCAAATTCCGATCGGAAATCGATATCGATTAGCAACCTTTCCCCTTCAATTATCACGTCTACGTACTCGTACTCTCCTGTGTAATCAAACAAATTATGTCATTAATCTCAAATAGAAAATTCAAAGATTTTAATTAAAATATTTGCAAGTTAAGGTTGATTTGATATATATATATATATATGTCAGAAAAAGAAAGTTGAAAAAAAAAATTGAATTTTCCTTCTGTTTCCAGGAACCAAACAAGCGGAGATATTTTTGGCGAATATTAGATGAAATAAAATGGAATTTTACCGGCGGGATAGGAGGGGGATTTCTCCCAACGAGATTTGCAGATTGAAGCGTCGTATCCGAGTGCCAACAGTCCATCGGTAACAATCGTTCTGCAAATTTCATCTTTACGCTTACAGATCTTGTTCCTCTCCACGATCCTTGCGGTGTCCGCTAGCAAATTCCTTTCCCTAACACTCGCGGAAAGAACCAAACCCTATCCATAAAATGGAAAGATTTTTATTTTTAATTTTTTGGTTTTTAAGAACAGAGATCAATTTTCAAAACTATGAGGAAGAGAGGCTTTCTATTTATTTACCTTGAGAATTTCGCATCCTTCACAAGAATTTACTAAGCTCGGATCACCGAACAGCTCCGGATCGTCCTCTGAGCCGTCGCTGCAGCTGCCGTTGAAGCAATTGGAGCGGTTCCGGCCACACTTCGCCGCGGAAGATTGCTTCTCGTTACTTCCCTCGATGAAATTCTGCACCATCTTCCCTAAGCAGACGGAGCTAGGCTCGAATTCGGTAGCGCCGGCGTTGTTGTACCCTTCCTTGCTGAAATGCGATTCCTCGGCTTTCTCCGAGGCGGAGATTTTCAGAACGCTCGTGAACTGCCGCTCAAAGAGCCGCTTGAACCGCGACTTCGCCGCCGGCTTGACCGGTTCGAACCGAGTCGGTTCTTCAGGCGGCGCGTGGAAATCGATTGGCTGGATCTTCATCGGGAACGGCGTGATCGGCGTTATCAAAATCACAACAAAGCGATCTTATCCTCCATCATCTTTAAAAACTGAGCTAATTCCTGAGTTTCAAAGTAAAAAAATAAACCCAATTTCCGATTTCCGTTTCTATCTAACTCCTAAAATCACTCCTCACAAACTCTCCTTCAATTACAAAAATCCAGAAACAAACCACGACAAATCTCTCACAAAACCACCCCCCCCAGAAAAAGGGTATAAATTGAAACCCCCAAGAAGCAAAAATAGTTAATAAAGCCTATACTTTTAGCAAAAACACATCGAAAACTCTGCAGAATCCTCCTCGGTTGAGAGCTTGGAACGGAATCAAACGCAGAGATCCAGAAATTCGCTAAAAATCGACGCAATTAGCAGAATTCGAGGCTCGTAAACCAGGTTAAGCGCCTTTTAGTACTCTCCAATTTGCTATATAAAAAGCTTTTTAGCTGCCTCTGATTGCCAAAACAAGTATGGAATAACTTCAAAACCCTGCCATGTTAAAGTCGCTTTTGCTTGGGGAGAAATGGTTACGGTTCCAAGAGATACGCGATACGACAACAAGACGTCACGTACTCACGGTTTTATGTTGGGCACATGGAGAAGAATCGATCGCCGGATCCCTCATTTTTCCTGGTGACACTCGTATATTCCGGTGAGGAACTACCGGCGTCGGGTCTTTTAGAGAGGGAGAAGACAAGTCGTTACGTGTGGTTTTGGGTTTTGTTTGGAGGGCGATAGAGAGACAGAGCTGAAGGCGGTGATATATAAACAGCGAGGATGGTGAGCACTGCTGACTAGGACTGTATGCCACGTATAATCCTACATGGCGGAATATCTAATCTGTAATAGGTTCGTGTTTCTGATTAAACGACGCCGCATCGTCGCTTGCTTTAATACCCGAAAATGCCCTCAACTGTTTTCATAAATGACGAGGAGGTGGTTTGCTCCCTCGTGATACGGAGGCCGTCGCTTTCGCCTATCACCTCACAGACGCGGCATGGGCAGGTTCGGAAAACTAATCATGTCCGTTTAAATTTTTTACCCACGGCTGCGGTATTACGGATTTCCCCTACACACTGTGGTAATGCTTGGTTAGGTGATCAAGGGAATAAGGGCAATGTTGGTAATTTCATGTGATCACCTTCTGAGTTAAAATTTCGGTGGTTGGAAAGGATTGTATGGGGAAAAGGACTTTTTGGTGGTCACAACAACAATTCAACAATTCACAGTGGCAAGCGGTGTGTATCTTAAGGATGAGGTCAAATCACAATTTTTGTGCTTGGGAAGCTAATAGATAAATGTGGGTAGTATGGTAATTTCAATATTTAAAATCCTGGTTAAAGGTTTTTAGGGGTTGTTCTCTTGTGACGAAACTCAGGAAAAATTTGAACTGGAATTAAAAATTTTATTTAAGTTCATGTTTTTTTAAAAATTTGATTTGAACTCGAATTTGAACTCGAGTTTTGAGCTAAACTTGAGTTTAAGTTTCCTCTTCAATTCGAGTTCATAAACTCGAACTCAAATTAATGAATAGTATATTTTATATTCTTAAAAATGTCATAACTTTTTCGTTTTAATTCTGATTGAGATGATTTTTTTTCTATACATTCACAATGAAAAGACAAATAAAACCTCACTCATATACCTTATTAAAATTTTTCATCACCATTGAGTTTTTATTAAAATACTATCTAAATAGAAATTTAAATTTTGATCCACTCAAATAAATTCTCAATTCAAATCATAACTCAAATGTGCACATCCAAACACAAACTCAAATTATAACTTCAACTCAAGTTATAACTCAAACTCAAGATCATTACTCAAGTCACCATAACTCAAAAATGTAAAAGAACAAACCCCAAGGTTTCGGTGTAATTTAATAAATTGATGAAAAATTAGAGTTTAATTACGTATATTTATTATGAAAAAAGTGTCTATGAGTTATGATATTTGCACATTAATCTACAAAACATGTAATAATATTTTTATTCTTTGTTAACTATCTTTAGAATTAGTTATTAATTTCATAACCACCCACAATAAAATGTATATTCAGAATGAGATTATCTCAGTAACTATAAAATGGACATTTTGACAATATGTTAAATTGAAAACATTACTTTTAAAATGATCATTTTGTGCAACTATTTGAAAGGATTAAAGGGGAAGATTATAGTAGCTGTGGGCCCAAAACCCACGACCTTTCTTCTTCTTTTTTTTTTTTTTCTTTTTTCTTTTTTATTTCTCTTACCTTACCGTTAGTAAATAAGAAAGTAGGGGTATTTTTGAGAAAAAGCGGACGTTCCCCTTTCACGCGGTAATGCGGCTTATCCTGTTGTTTCGGAGAGACACGCGTCATTATTTGACACTGATGTTAAGTCTTGGAGCAGTTTGATCAGGCCATGTGTTGAGTATGACGTCATTAAAGCCGTTGGATTGCTTGGACAAACGACCTTTCAAACGTTTCAGCAACGTTGTTCTCTACTTCTCTTTTGGCCCCTTCAGCTTCATTTTCTTTTTCTCTAAACATTTTTAAAATTAATATCTCATTCATTTTATCGATTTAAATTTTAAATTTTAAGTTTTTACAGTTAAAAATTTTCAGAAAATATCACATTTAATTTTTTTATTACAGTTAAAAACTCTCATAAAATATCATATCTCAATTCAAATTGAAAACTCAAAAGAAATGAATTAGGCCTAAAGGTTTATTCGTTTGCGTCCAAACTCAAAAAACGTTTGAATTTAAGGGGTTGTTTGGTTGGGGGATTCATACCCCGATTCGAATCGTGATTCATAGTTCGCTACAGTGTTTTCTCTCACAAAAAATACACATAAATTGAAAATGACTCTAATCTCATGATTCTAATCTATGAACCAAACGTCTCCTTAAGTTATAATTTTATTCCAAGTTCATGTTCTTTTGTAAAATTTAAATTTTAACTTAAATGTTAGCTTGAGTTTGATATTAAAATCTAAATTTAAATTTTTATTTCAACTCAAATTCTTAAACTCAAATTCAAGTTAAATAACATTATTTTTTATATTCTTAAAAACGTTATAATTTTTTTGTTTTAATTCCGATTGAGATGATTCTTTTTTTATGCGTTCACAACGAAGAGACGAATAAAACTTCATCATATACCCTATTAAAATTTTTCATCATCATTGAGTTTTTATTAAAATATTATCTAAATACAAACTCAAGTTTTGATCTATCTAAACACAAATTCAAAAAGATTCACATCTCAAATCATAACTCAAATGTACACAACTAAACACAAACTTAAATTATAATTTTAACTAAAATTCAACTCAAGATCTATATTCAAGTTATCATAACTCAAAAATGTAACTGAATAAGTCTTAAATTGTCCTTTTTCAATAATAAAACAAGTGTCATGATTTTATTTGCGTACAAAAAAACAGATGTCCTGATAATACGAGTCATCGAGGGAAGGTGGATTATTGTTATTAATTTATTTTCCATTATATATTATATATTATATATTATTATTAAATATTATTATGGTTGGTATTTTTCTGAAATGGTTAAGCTGTATTTGTTTAAAGTCTCATTCAATTCGTAAATTTGAGTTTTTAATTTGAATTGAGATGCGATTTTATAAAAAGTCTAAAATCTCATTCAGTTTACAGATTTAAGTTTTTAATTTGAGCTAAGATGTGATTTTATGTGAAAACTTTTCACTGTAATAGAAAAATTATATGTAATTTTTTCTGAAAATTTTTAACTGTAGCAAAACTATAATTAAAAACTTGAATTAGTGAAATGAACGAACCCTAAATTAAGACAGAGTTGATGACTTTGTCTGATGTGACGTTGCGATGAACAAGTGTATTGGATTTTATCAATGTTGGTGTTTGTAAATTATTCCAACCAGAAATTATTGCTTCTAAGTATTTTAAGATATAAAAATATCTTATGTTATTCTTTTATTTTATTTTGTAACTTCTGAGGATGGATGATCGATCCATCTTCTTCGCGGGGAAAGACTAAAGAAAACGACATATCTTCTATTGATATCATTTTATAGTGACATATCTTCTTATGTCTTGTGAAATTCTTAAAAAATAAAAATGGTGATATATGGAAAATCATGACGAATGCATCTGGACGGGAGGTTGTTGTTTGTTCTCAATCATTTTCCTTTCCCCGTTTTCACTTAAAAAAAAAAAAAGTTAAAACTTCCTTATCTTAGTTATTTCAGCAAATATTAAAAATTGGAATTATAAGAGTGAAATGATGTGCAATACGAGTTTATGAAAAACAGAGAAAGTCAATAAAAATCATCACTTCACTTTGCTTTCTTAGGTCAGATAATTATTCCAAAGAATTAAAATCACCAAATAAGTAGTACGAAATTATGATTGTTTTTATGAAAAAAAAAAACTAATAATATGTTCGATTACACATCTAATCATACTCCTAATTAAAGGGCAATGCAACATCAAACTAAATAAAAATATTGTTTAACGAAAGCGATTTTATACAATTTAGTTCAATCCATGCCACGAGATGAGAATGTAAAATAACGATATTTATTTTTGAATAAGACATATTTAACAAACATACAAATATTTTATTCTTATATATATCTGCTTTTAAATTGGTCTAAACTCCGGTAATTTTTATATATATATATAAAAACTAGTGGTTGTATTAGTTTTAAAAGTATAAACTAGTTTTATCTATCAACTATAGTTATTTTTTTCAGAACATCAACTATAATGATTTGTTAAACGAGTTTTTGTCACGTTAGATTATTAACGCACTGAATGAGTCTTATTTTTTATTGAGTATAAGCATTATATTTGTATTTGCATCTCATTTGCCTTTAACGGTGAATTTAGTTTTTGTCCATGGCTAATTATTATTGTATTTAGCGGTCATTTTCAATTGTATTAGAATCTATATTCGCTGAATTGATGTTTTTTTAAGTAGACCGTAATGTAAAAGTCTTCCACTTTTGCTCATCTTTTCAATGGAAAAAGTAATAACAAATATAATTGCGTGTTACTGCATAGAAATAAATGGGCCTGAGATTAACAGATAGTTTTCATTTAGGATCAGTGTTCAATGTCAAATTGATTGATAAAACTGTTTGATGTTCCATTTCTGGTCCTACACTTTCAAAGCTTATTTCCAACATGGTTTGTGTCCTCATTATCATATATATATATATATATTTGTCATTATCTGCTCAAATAATTCACTCCTGTTTCTGGAATTGCCGTGCACTTACATGGCTGAGTCAGTCGTGGGCTCCAAAGATGTGAAGGGCCTAAATTCATTTTTGGATCACTGGGGCCCGTGGGCATGCTAACATTTCCATTGTGGGCCTGAATGAAATTTGCTGTCTGCCCAAAAATTAACCCTCCCTCTTTTCTTTTCCATATTCAAACGAAGGTACAACTGTTCGGGTGGGCTTCCCCACACAGAATCTGGTGTTACCGGTTATTGTAATTTGTTTCCATTCTTGTGTGAGGGGTTTTTAATTTAGGAGATTATTTGGTACTATGGTGTATTAGTATATTATATTTTTTTAACTGTTAAGTTTATATTTTTTTATTTTTATGTGATTTTACGCCGGTTTAATAGATTAAAAAATTTAATTTATCGGTATGTTAGGGTACCGAAAAATGTCCATTTTAATTTTATAATAATTTTTTGTTTTTTTGGGTGTTTTCTTTTAAGTCTCATTCAGTTCGTGAATTTAAATTTTTAATTCGAGTTGAGATGTGATTTTATGTGAAAACTTTTTACTGCAAAAGTTAGATGTGATTTTGTATAATAATTTTTAAATATCACAAAATTAAAATTAAAAACTCAAATTTATAAAATGAATGGGGATTTAGTAGCTGTGAATAATGAAATTTATTGTTCTGATTTTCAAGAGGAAAAGTTGTACCTCTTGATTCAAAAGTGTTAAAATATACTATATATTCACATAAGTGGTACCTCGGAGTCATTTGATATGGCTTTTAACATCAACTTTTTTACTTTTCTTTTTAGAGAATTATAAGGTAGGAAATAAAAAAAAAAAGTACCCTACTGGTTTGGGTTTTGTTTTGAACTTACATGAAATTTTATTAAATTTACGTGCTTTTTTGTTTTAAAACACTAAACTTGTAAAACCGACAGGAATACCCTATCATGACTTGTTCTTTTATTTGATGATTCTTGATATTATTGATTATCTATAGTACTATTTTCTTGAGTCATCATTGCGACTAAGTGAGAGGTAATGTAATATAAAGTATTATTAATTACCGTGTGAAAATTAATTATCATAATGGAAATAGAGTTTGTAGAAATATGGTCAAATGTAAAAATAAATTTATAAATAATTAATGTCTCTTTTATCTCTATAGAATTACTCTCTAAACTGCAATGTCCTCTGAGCAAAATAAATAAATAAATAAACATAAAAACTCTAAAATATCCCATGAATAATCCCTAAATTGAAATGTATACGCGTGTAATGTTTAACATATTTTATTAACCGACATAAGTGAATTCGGGATAAGGTTGTTACTTTTCCATAGTCGTCCACAAAGTTCAAACTTCAAACCAAAATGTCATTCTCTTATCTTTAGTTTTTTAAAGAAAAAAAGAAGAAGAAAAAAAAGAGTAGCTTATAAACCTAGACGTGCCAACCAATTGAGATTAAAGTTTTTGACTTGAAAGTTGAAACACTTGCAAGAGTTTCTTCCATCACTTCCATGTCTGGACCAATCCATAATGTTGTTTCATTTGAGCCCGTTTAATTCGCTGATTCGAGTTTTAAATTTAAGTTGATAAGTGATTTTATGTGAAAATTTTTTACTCAAATTGATAAAATAAACGAGACCTTACTTATTTCTTTTAGTTCCATAAATTTCCATTTGTTTTTTTATTTCAACTTTTTAGCCACTTCTTTTAAAATGTAACATCACAAAAATTCTTATTATTATTATTTTTGTTTAGACGACCTTCGAAGGCAATCCACTTTTCCCCTGTAGCTTTGCTTTTAACAATGTTTCAACTTTTTTTTTGTTTAACAAATATTTATCTCTTCTTCTCTCCTTTTTCTTTTTTAAATCCAATAACTTTTTTTCCCTTACTTTTCTTTTCCCCATCCGTATTTATAGGTGTTGATGGCAATTTGTCAACAAAGGCTATGGCTCTCCGGATTTTCATAAAAGGAAATTAAAGAAAGCAAATCCAAAATAGGCCGATACATGATTTGCAAAGGAAAAACAATAGGCCGCAGCTGAAATTCAGTGTCTCTAATAATTACATAACATCTTTCCATTAAAAAAAAAGGTTACTATAGTGACTTTCCACACAAAAAAAAAAAGTCACTTTATATAAATCTGTTAAAGCAAATAGTATGTCCCATTTCTCAGATGTATTCATTATATTCATGACTGGGTTATTTCTTATTTTAACAATTGAATAGATATAAGAAGGTAATTAACGTCTAGTATGTACTTCAATATATAAATATATAAATACGTATTTGTGTATACGTGTAGGGTCCTGTTATGGTATCTTCACGGCGTTGTGCCGTTTCACAAATTTATCTAACTTTTGTACTTTATCGTTCAAATTTATAAGCTATAATACAAAATTGATAAATTATCGTTCATTTTAAAATTTACAAATCTATCGTAACTTATGTAACTCTGACGTTTGAAGTTTACAATTTGTAACGTAAAATTCACAATTATCGTATTTTCTAATAGGGTTATATATATATAGATTATTTTGGGTAATGAAGAAAATACTTGAGAATGTCTAGCAGCAATTGGCTTGTGAGTTGATAGTAAAGTCACAAGCCAACTGCCAAACACTAGAAAACCAGTTAGTGCTCCATTTTTCATGTTTTCACTTTGGTGGAAAAATAGAATTCACCTTTTAGACTTGTTTATCATAGGTTCCGGGTCACCACTGAATTGATTGCATTTCTTATCGTAATTATGTTTGTGCTCAATTATATTATCTCCTCTTTTTTTTAATATGACTTAATTCAATTTCCTTCTTTCCGGTCTTTTCTCTTTTAACGTACGTCTCTCTCGTGCACAAAACACATCCCATATTTTTCTCCTAGTATCTTTGCTTTAAAATGTCATTATTATTACTCGTCAATATGCTTTTCCTAGTTCTTCCTTTTTCCTTCTTTCTCTCTATTTTTATTTTTTTTTATATATTTTTTCCCTTGTCCTACTTCTGACGCAGCTATGTTAGGATAAACGGAGGACCCAATTTTTAATTTCTTCCCCTTTTTTTTATCTGAAATTTCTTCCCCTTCAACATGATAACATCACGCCTTAAGATTCTAAGGTGGGGTTTCCTCAGCGTAGGTCCTCTAAGGACCATTACTGGCCACTCTAGGTGTAAAATCAGATGGTCGATATTGTACGAGGTTGAATTTTGTTAGAGGATTCAATGGACTGAGCCGTACCATTTACATCCACTCTATAAGCACCGTCGGATTTAAATTGTAAAATTGGGACAAATGGTCAACATCCCAGAAATTTCCCAATAAGTTCATATGATCCCATTTTAAAATTTTTAATTTCTTTGCTATGTTTGGTAGGAAAGAAAGAAAATAGGATAAGAAAGAAAATAAGAAAGTGATGAAAAATAGTAATGATGAAAAGAAAATTAATTTTTTTTTTATGTTATTTGTTATGAGAAGATGAAAAAAAAAATGAGTTTACCTTCACTTGTTTAGTGTTGAAGTTAAATTGGGAGAAGAGAAAAAATCTTACTCGTAAATTACTTTTATACCCTTAAATTTTTTACTTGGATGTTGATAGAGAAAATGATAGTTTAGTAACTTTGCTCACTTTAATGAGTTGTCCCCATTTTTTATTTCATTTTCTGCCCACTTTTAGAAAGAAAAAAAATGGTGAGGCCCATGTGTATTATTTTCCACTCCATTTTCTCTTCCTTTCTCTTTTATCTCCTACCAAACAACTTACATTTTCATTTTTCCTCCCAAAATCTCTCCATCTTCTTCCTGCCTTCTACTTTTCTTTCCTACCAAACATACTATAACGTCAGAGACCCTCCTCTCAGCGATGGAATTTCCAACTGTGGAAACTTCAAAGGGGAAAACGAGTCAGAAAGGAAAAGAAAAAGGCCAGTCTGCCAACACAGTGAAAGCCCACTCCAAATTGAAAGATAGACGACAGCGGTGAAAGCCCACTCCGAATAACATGTGAAATTGAAGCCCAAAGAATCCAAAACTTGAACTTCCGTAATCAAACAATAATGTCAAAAATTACTTACAATACAAGGAAATGGAACCCCTCCGCTACAGAAGGAAGAGTTGAAAAGAAGGAAAACATTATATGGGACAAATGCATCTCAAGTTCAATCAACACACAAAGATTGTGTTAGATAATACCAACTCCTTTGTTTCTCCTCAGCATCGCAAATCACTTACCATGACAGCGCCATATAAAACCAAAGACGTCGTAAATTCCCACTTAGGGGACAGTGATAACCTGAACAGATTGCAGCATATCCGAGACAACAATGGCAAAGTCTCCAGACTTGAGCAGCCCTCTTGCTTTCAGCAGAGAGAATGTTCCGCTTAGGTTGTTTTCCATGTCATCTGTGAAGCTAAGGCAGAATGGTGTAACACCCCACAGCAGGTTCAGCTGCCTCTGCATAGAGGCTGAGGGGGTGAAGGCAAAAATTGGGCAGTCGGGTCGATGACGGGACAAGAGAGAAGCCATATGCCCTGATTTTGTGTAGACAAAAATGTAATCTGCTTCCAATTTATTCGCTGAAAGTTCATCAAACAACACCATACGAAAAATTAAACAAGTCATATCATCAAAGTAAACAGCGCAGGAAGAAATCAATATAATCAGCTCATCCTCAAAAAACCACTGAGAAAATACATTGAGTGATCTTCACTGTTAGACGAGAATCACAAGACCAATGACAATTATGAATTAAACTCAGTTTTTCTTTTCCTTACAACATATGTTTCTGGACTTGTACTAGTTAACTAAATCGCACAACAATATAAAGAACAATTATACCAAGTTTACTAGAAGCTTAAGAGACAAAAATAATGCTCACCAATATTGGCAGCTGCGTTGCATATCTCCTCTGATATATCTCCAGTCAAAGAGAAAGTAATAGCAGGAAGTTTCACGGTGTCATGACGTTTTACCTCCTTCAAATGCCTCTCCATCCTTAAGCTGACATTTCTCAGTACTGCTAATGCCTTGTCGGGATAATTGCCCATAGCAGACTCGCCCGAAAGCATTAAAGCATCTGCCTGCTGTCCAACTGCTTCTGAAACATCAGCAACCTCAGCTCTAGTTGGAATAGGATATTCAATCATGGACTCAAGGAGCTGAGAAGCAACAATGACAGGCCTATTCAGCTGCCTGCACAGCTCAACAATCCTCTTTTGAACTGATGGGACTTGTTCCAAGGGTATCTGCGCACCCAGGTCTCCTCTGGCTACCATAACACCATCGGATGCCTTAATGATGTCTTCCAAATTCTTCAGAGAATCTATGCTCTCTATCTTTGCAATGATAGCAATTTCGCTGCAGTAAGAAGGCCATCACACTCAAGTAAGCACAAATCATAGGTATGTGGATTTCTCACAAGCATGAACCCCATGGAGTTATTTTCTGCCAAAATGGTCATGGCTAACACTGGCTTTTCAAATTTGGACAAACGACTAGTGAACATATTTTCATTCCATACTTGCATAAGGAATGACATATAGAAAACTCCGAATATCATCATCTATGGAACTAGGAAAGTACGCGTTGATGTTGCAAAACATTCAAGGTTCAAAAGCATGAACAAGACTTACCTCTCACAACATTTTGCAGCAATGTAGCTCTTTAAGTGATTAATGACCTCAGCTGATTTGACAAAGGAAACCCCAATAAAATCAACACCCTCTTCAATTCCAAAATCAATATCCAGCCAGTCCTGCGTTTAGACACCCATTAAGAAAAAATCAACAAATTCACAACTACATTTAAAGTTCACCAAACTGGGATTTCAAAAGTGTATTCAAAAGAGTATCAACCTTAGATGATAGAGTGGGAAGCATGGCATTACGCTCTTGAACTAGAGTCCCATTCCTCCAAAATGTAAGGTTAGCTCGCGGCAACAACAACCCGGGATCTATACATCGGCACAGAACATCTGGACCAATCTTCTCAGTCACCTCAAACCTCACCATTCCCCCATCCACAACAAGCTCATCACCCTCCTTCACATCTGTTTCGTTCAGCATCACCACCAACTGAAAGTTATCAGATACAATACAAAAAATACCAAACCATACAAAACCAACATGTTGAAAACAAATTTTACCTTCAGCAAAACCATCATAATTCACATGAACAGAGCGTTCCGGCAGAGAACAACCGAGAGGCCGAACGGTAAACGTCCACATATCACCATCCTAAAATCACAATAACACATACATAACTTGTACATATCTCAAATATAGTTCACATTTCCGTAATTTCGGCTTCTCTAAGGAACTTTAATGTTACAAAGCATCGGATAAAAATCAAATGTACCTCTGCTTTGGCGGAACTTGCGCCGCCGAGATCGCCCATGTGGATCTCACTCCCTTCAGTGTCCATCATGATCGCCACCGCAAACCCCTTCTCTTCGTTCAGCCTCCTCACCCGCTCAATCACCGCGCGGTGCCACGCGTGCGTGCCGTGACACATGTTCACACGCGCCACCTTCATCCCCGCCGCCGCCAACGCCTCGATCCGGTCGGGACCGCATGTCTCGGGGCCAATCGTGCACACCAGCTTTGTCATAGCTGTGGTGGCTCGAAGCCCTTCGTCCTTCAATTCCTTCTCCGTCGCCGGCGTCTCGGGAGTCCATGCCCTCCGGTTGTCGGAAATGAGGACGCCGGGGCGTGTGGAGAGCAGTTTCTTCGCCGGTGCGTGATTGGGCAGTCCGAAAAACGGTTTGGAGATGGATGTTGCTCCGGTGAAGGTGCGAGGGAAAGATAGAAAGGGAGAGACCGGGAAGAGAGTAGAGCTCGAAGCGGTTGGACACACCGGCGACATTCTCGCCGGCGTGAAGTTGGGCGGCGGAAGAGGAGATCGTTAGGGTTTTCGGAAGGGTTTAATTGGGGTTTTTGACTGGGTTCGGTTAGTTTTGACCGTTGGAAAAAGAACAAAATTTGTTGTATTTAGGTAATATAAATATAAACTTTAGCCTCCGTTGGTTGTTCTTTTTTTTTTTTTTTTGAAAAAATATAAGTCGTGTTTAGAATTGATTTCATTTTTATTTTTTATATTTTTTAAGAAAGAAAAAATAAAACGTATTTAAAATAGTGTTTTGTGTAATAAAGATAAAAACAGAAATGAAAATAATTTTTTAATTTAGTGTAAAATGAGATAAAAATAAAAAACGACTTTTAGTCGTTTTTCATTTTCTCCTCTCTTTAGCAGAGAGAGAGAGGGAGAGAAGCATTAATTAGTTTTTTTATACTAAAAATAATCTCTTGATAAAACTACGAAACGCATTTTTAAAAATAATTTTAGTCTGATATTGAAAACGTTTTCATTTTTATTTTTATATAAAAAATAAAATCATTTTAGAACGAGTTCCAAACGCGCCCATAAATTTTTTTTTTCTTGGTTTAGATTCGCCAAATATGTTAGTTTTTACTTAAAATTTCAGGGCTTGTTCATTTGCACTTAAACTCCAAAAAAAATTGAACTCAAATTACAATTTTATTTAAGTTCATGTTCTTTTATAAAATTTAAGTTTGAATTTGAGTTTGAGGCTAAAATCTGCATTCAATTTCCCCCTTCTACACAAGTTTTTAAATTCAAACTCAAATTAATGAACAATATTTTTTCTATTCTTAAAAACACAATAACTTTTTCGTTTTAATTTCTATTGAGATAATTTTTTTCTATGCCTTCACAACATAGAGACGAATAAAACCCTACTCATATACCCTATTAAAATTTTCCATCACCATTCAGTTTTTATTAAAATATTATATAAATACAAATTCAAATTTCGTTTCACTCAAACACAAACTCAAATTAAAATCACAACTTAAATCATACTCAAATATACCTTAACTCAAATTAAAATTTAAACTTAAGTCACCATAACTCAAAAAATATAAATGAACAAGTGAATTTTTAACAGAGAAACAAATAAAAATTTGTGATATGCTTTCGCGGGAGTTTTTAGTTATTGTCTTAATTTAAATACAAATTTAAATATACTGTATTTGGGATTTGAGATTTTGGCCGGAGAATTTTTGATATTTATAGTGTGTTTGGTAAAATGATTCGTACCATGATTTGAATCATGATTCATGGTTTGTTACAGTGTTTTTTCTCGTAAAAAATACATGTAATTCAAAAATAGTTATAATCTCATGATTCTAATACACATATATCGTGATTAATTAAGAATATTTATTGCCAGAAAAACTATTTTTTCACTTCAAGATTATAATATTGTTGTCGTTCCAGCTTTGCATCAAACTTTTCTATCACATTTCATAAATAAAAGCGACATAAATTTTGTTTAGATTAAGAGCCGTAAACCCCACTACACATTTTTTTTTTTTAAAAAAACAAGGTAAATTTGGTTTAAATTGGTAATGGGTTTGTATTTGTAATAGAAGATACATTTGTTTTTGAAATAGATGAATCTCGTCGTCTATTGAAGTGAGATGTTTTTGTTTTTAGAAAAAAAATTATTGGTGTCATCTTTTCTACCATTTTGTTTGAATATTCGTCCGCAACCAAATCAAGGATATCGACCATCACGTGAAGACTTCATAAATTTCACAAGTGATTAGATTGTCGTATTATTTGTTCCAGTAACGTGAGGCATTTGCTACCACCTATCAAAGTACACGTGAAGAAATTAAAGGGGCATTTAAAACTCGTTTTAAAATAATTTTATTTTTTTATATGAAAATGAAAATGAAAACGTTTTCAATCTCAAACATAAACTATTTTTAAAAATGCATTTAATAGTTTTATCAATAGATAGTTTTCAGTATAAAAAAAACTCATTAATATCTCTCTTTCTCTCTTTGCTCGAGATATGAGAAAACGAAAATAAAAAATGAAAAATGACTAAAAGTCATTTTTCATTTCTCTCTTATTTTATATTAAACTAAAAAATCGTTTTTATTTTTATTTTGCTAAACGCTATTTTAAAAACATTTTTATTTTTTCTTTCTCAAAAAATGTGAAAAATAGAATTTGAATATAATAGCAGTAGGAGAGTGCTCATTGTTCAATTCGTTTGAGACTGATATCCAAATCAAGAGTCAAAACTGAGACATATTTCCGGATTGCTTAAAGCTCCGTTGAATGAACATCAAACGGGCTAGTGACTCTTTCAAGGACAACGACATTAATTACAAATTGGGTTAATTTCTTATAAGACGTTACGTTCATAGATTAGAATCATGTGATTAGAATTATTTTCGATTTACGTGTATTTTTTGTAAAAGAAAACACTATAACGAACCATAAACCATGATTCAAATCATGGTTTGAATTCTCAAACCAAACATCTAACTTCAATCCCACTTTAGTTTTTGATTTCTAAAATGTTTGATTGCTGATGTTTTATTTTGACATCTTTCAATTCGTCAATTCGAGTTTTCAATCCGTACTGAGATATGACTGTATGTAAGAGTTTTTAACTGTAACAGAAAAAGTTAGATGCGATTTTTTATAAAAGTTTTTAATCGTGGTAAAATTGAAATTGAGAACTCGATTTGTTTTAAGTTTTGTTATTTTCACAACTCAAATTTTGTTTTCTCCTCAAAAAATTTAAATTCAACTTTTATGCTACATTATTTTTCTCACTCAAGTTCTTAACTTGAGTTGTGAAACAAACATTTAAAGAAATCAAAATAATACAAAAATAAAAATTAATTTCACAATAAATTTTATCTATTTTCAATTTTAGTTTCTAATTTACATAGTTTCCTTTAAATATTTAACACTCGATCGAAAATGAAACAGGAAAACTTTAAGGACAAATTATTGAATATTTTAAAAGTGGGTGACTAAAATTAAATTGAGGATTAATTTTAAAAATTATTTGTGGAAATAACCCTTACATATTTATATCACCTATTTAATTGTGATGTCTAAAATAGTTTACCAATCAAATTATGTTTATGACATTTTTTTTTTAAAGGCATATAGCTTTGACTGGCGTTCGCATTGCAATTTGATACAATTGTCGTTTCTTTTGGTTAATTATAGACCGCAGATTTTCTTTAAATCAGTAAACGGAGCAAAGCTTATTTTTTCTTATATATATATATAAAAAAAAAAACTTTACAAGGAATTTTTGCGCTTCTCTGTATTTAGAAGTTGAATCCATTTCTATCCGGAATTTGTTGATTGGTACGACACACGTGCGGGGGGGCGTGTTTGAGTATATTAAGGAAAAGAGAGGGATATTTTCGCAAATCAGTTGAAATTTTGAAATGAAAATGATTTTTCCCACCCAAAAGTAACCGCCATTTGGTAGCAAGTAATTCAAAAAGAACAGAGGCCATCCACAGATTAAAACCCCAAACCCCATCCCTTTCCCTCTCATTTTTCTCCTCTCTCTACAGTTCTCTCAGGTCTCTATCTATCTCTCTCTCTCTCTCTCTCTCTCTCTCTCTCTCTCTCTCTTTGTTTTCTTGTTCGATTTCCGCTTCCTATCGGTAAAATTCGGCTTTTAATTTCTGCGTTTTGTGGGAGAAAATCTTTGGATCCAGATCCGGATTTCTTTTCTTGGAGTCAAATTTTGTTACATCTACGGGCGTCTTGAACAGATCTGGATTTCATCTCCTTTTGTCTTTGTTCTTGCGAAATTAGTTTTCATTTCGTTCATATTCCTCTCTTTTAAGTATTGATTTTCAGTTTCTTGGTTTTGAAATCTCCCTTTTCTTTGTAGGCTTTTTGTCAGCTTCATATGTTGGTTTAAAATTTGTTGGGTAATTTTGACAGGCAAGAAATGGCGGGGAAAGGAGGCAAAGGGCTTTTGGCAGCGAAGACCACAGCGGCGAATAAGGACAAGGACAAGGATAAGGACAAGAAGCGGCCTGTTTCCCGTTCGTCCCGTGCCGGTATCCAGGTAAAACCCCTTTTCTCTCTTTTTTATTTTTTATTTTTTCTCCTTCCAGTTATTGGATTCTCCTTATGCGTCTTTTATTTACTGACTCCGTCATGTCTTTGCCCGTGATTTCCTTTTTCCTATAATTATTTATTTACTGTAGATTTGTTTTTGCTTAGCCACGTTGTTGTAGCTATAAAATTCGTTTTTTTCCGTTAATTTGTCCTATTGTCGTTTTTACTTTTGGACCAACTCGTAATTCTGCTTAACGGGATTTCATTTAGCACAAAACCCGCCATTCTGTATTAATTATTAGTCAACAAATTATTGCATGTTAAGAATGCTTATACTAATTCCGGTTTGAAGTAGAACTCTTTAATTTTATTGATATTTTGTTGTTGCCCACTTTCAAAATATAGGCATAGTAACATGATATCCAAATTTTCTGTTGGGTATCCGTTTTATCTCTGATTTGAATGTTTGAAGTTCATTGTTCTAATGACGATTATTCCATGCTTATTATTTCAGCTCAAAATTGTGAACCATATATCTATGTTTAGTTCATTGATCCGCTTCTGTTTTCCCATGTGGTGAGTTCAGTTTCCGGTGGGTCGGATTCACAGGCATCTGAAGACGAGGATCTCGGCGAATGGACGAGTTGGGGCCACTGCTGCTGTTTACTTGGCCTCAATTCTCGAATATCTGACCGCCGAGGTTCTTGAGCTTGCCGGCAATGCAAGCAAAGATCTGAAGGTGAAGAGAATCACACCAAGGCATCTTCAGCTGGCCATCAGAGGAGATGAGGAGCTTGACACACTGATCAAAGGTACCATTGCTGGAGGAGGTGTCATTCCTCACATTCACAAGTCCCTCATCAACAAGACCTCCAAGGACTGATTGTCTGATTGCTCCTTATTGTCTCTGAATTTAAAGGGCTGTTTTAACTTAGGAAACCTTATTATGTTTATCATGTCTGTGTGATTATATCTCGTTTGCTTTTGTGATAGATGGCTAGGATAGTTTACATGCGTAAATACAGTTTATTGCCCTTTTGCACTGGTATCTATGTTTAGGATTTAGCAACTTTGTTTATTGGATAGCGCTCTAAGTTTTAACTTTTGACCGTGGTATTCTCTGCACCTTTATTTATGCAATCTGTGTTGATTATTTTGATAACCCGGCCCTATTGTTTTCAACCTGAAACACTGTTCTTGACAGTTTCAGGAACGTATAAGCTGTTCCCTATGAAATTTGATTTTGTTGTCATTGTGTGTGTGTGTATATATATATATATATTTTTTTTGTTTTTGTTTTTTTGGTTGGAAACTCGTGGTACTTGCTTTAAACTGTCAACTTTTTTATGGTTTTTCAAACATGAGAACTTTTTTCTGCAAGACAACGCTCAACTGGCCTAAGTTCTTCACTTTACTTAACGTTGGACTCGTATGAAATATATTGTCATCCGCTAATAATGAGGAAATTGGAAAGTAATGCCCATGAAAGGGAAATTTAGGAACATATTTTTTCCTTTAGGTACTGAAGAAGCTGTCCAATTAAGAAGGATTTAGACAAATCGTTGATGCTTATCGTTATAGTTATTGAAAAGTGATTAGTCACCAATCAGCTTGTCACTCCCTGCTAGTAGATTAAAAATTTAAAATGACAACTTAGAATTAACCCATTTGTATTTGGAACATAAAGAATGTAAAAAAGGTAACCTCCGGTTTTTGTATTTGGGCTAAATATTTACCCTAGTAGTTTATTACAATGCCACGTGGCCTGTGCATCTGAATTTTGCCAGAGTTCAGATTTTAACAGTGGTTTATTACAATAGGCCATCCTATATGCAGTTCTACTTGTTTTTAGGAAAGAAAATTGTTTTGGCTGTGGATGGAAGTTCTATTGGCCAATGGCCAGGTAATGACTCTTGAGTCTTGAACCTGGACAAACTTCTTTGCTTGATGCAGTTATAAGCGACTCTTTATCTTTATTTCTTTGATATTAGCGGCCATGTCAAAATCTGACAGAAAGTGTTTTAAATAAGAAGTCTATTTAGGGCGACTTGCAAATTTTTCTATTTATTTAATCCCACTTCCTGTATTAAAAAAAAAAAGCTTATTATACTGACACTCCATGTATTTTTATCAATATTATACTCACTCCCTTAACTAATATTAATTACATCAACATCCCCTAACTTTTTAAAAAACTTACACAACACCCCATCCGTTAGTTGACTATCCAAGTTGGCTATTAATTTATTTTAAAATGCTAAAAATGCCCCTGCAGTATCAGAAAAAGTTTTCTAAGCTATATATAATGCTCAAAATGTCTGTCTTATCCTTATTTAACAAGGAAAAACACGTTTAATTGTTTTTTACACACATGAAACTAACCTTAACGAATGCTTTATTTATCCCGTTTCTTGTGTTTATTTCGGTCTGGATTTTTTTCCCAGAACAAAAGCATTTCAACAAACGCCTATACATGAACAAAAAAAAAAAAAAAGAGCACACACAACTGAACTGCTATCAACTTTGAAGACACTACACAAACACCTAAATATCAACAACTATAGAAGAAAAATAGAAAGAAACAGCAAAAAAAAAAAAAAAAAAATGTGGTCTCATTAATTCATGCATTCCCAATGAGTTTTTCCATCATCTGCATGTTTAAAGCTTTGAAAATGGCCATGTAAAATGCCTAGAACCCAGAAGTTCGGGAATTACTTCCTCTAAAAACTTCAAGCTATTACATTTTGGTTACTTTCAACCACAGAAAAGACAAATCAACAAAAATAAAAAAAAAATGCTTGCAGAAACCCATTTTCTTCCACGAAACAAGTCCTTGAACTTTTTAGTTCTAATTCCACTGATTCTTCTTCTCCCTCTGCAACATAGATGAAGGTGTTCTTCAATCTCATATCAAGCTTAGAATTATTCACTCAAATCCATTAAAAAGAACAACAACAACAACAACCAAAAACAAAAACCAGCCTTAGTCGTGGAGCTCCTTCATTTTTTTCCATCTTCTTCCCTTAAATTTCCCCTCCGCCGGTCTATATCCTCCCCAAAGCCAAACCCCAATTTTCTGGGTAAGATGAAGGGTCACACGGGTGGGAGGGGGTCTGGTAATGGAGCAGTGTGATCCACCCTTTTTTTTTTTTTTTTTTCCTCGGATAAAAAAAGATTGAATGGACGGTTGAGATTTGACTTTATTGATCAATAGCTGATATTAAAAGGGGGTAGTTTTGACATTTGCTAAACAAATTTAACAAAGTTTAGGTGAGGAGGTGCTACTGTGATTAGTTTCAATCAATGGAGTTGTGATTGTAATATTGATAAAATACAGGTGTCATTGTGATAAGCCAAAAAATTAAACAGTATATAAACAAATAGCTTGATCCATTTACAAAGGCTAGGTCCAAAAAGCATTCATTTTGGGGACCATGTTCATATAATTAATCACATTGAACAGTTTTCCCCAATTCCTATTGTCTTTTATGCCCATTTATTCAAATATTACTGATCTACTAGTAGATTCTTTAAGCTGAATGTTTCTATCAAGTTAAATTTTAGGAGCCAATGTCAATCAAAATCTGCAATCTGGTTTTATAGTTTCATGGGATTGATTCAGCAACTTTGCCAGGTTAAGCTAGGATCTAACGTGGTACCATTTCACCATTCTTTTGGCAAATCTTAGCCAAGATTGGTAAATTAGTTACGGATCCGTTTACTTTGCAGATTCAAATTTTTAATTCGAGTTGAGATGCGACTTTATGTGAGAGCTTTTTATTGTAATAAAAAAATTAGATGTGACTATTTTTAAGAATTTTTTACTATAACAAAATTTAAATTTTAAACTCAAATTGGTAAAATGAACGAGACTTACATTACTACTCTTTCTTTACCATCATGGGTGGCTCTCATTGGCTTTTTTTTTTTTTTTTTTTTTTTTTTTTTTTTTTCCCTTTTTTTTTTTTTTTTTTTTTTAT